TGGAGAAGGACAGCTGGAAACTCAGTTAGTAGCAGAGTAACACCTGTTCAGTCATATTTATGGGGGAAAGTGCTCGCTAACAGAAAGTGAAGTAATACCAGGAGGAGTTATCCCATGAAAGGGGAGGGAGGAAGGGGGAAGCATCAGAGCACAAAAGCACCTCTGTGGAGTCAGCAGCCAGCACCTCATGTGCCAACCCCAGTAGTTGTGAGGTCTTAAAAGTGATCTTATCCCTACTGCTGCTGACTGAATTAACAGTACTGCTTCAGAAAAACATTATTTAGTCACCAGGAAGGTTTTTGATATATGCATGCTTTGGCTGAAGTACGCTCCAGGACACTTGCTTTATCATGCCTTATTTTTCTGTATGATTTAAACATGTTTTTGCTGTCATTAGACAAACAGCCACACTCCTAAAGCAAATGTCAGCAAACCTTTATGTGCCATAATACATAAGGTTCCTCTCACAGAACAGAGTTTACAAATATGAACAAATTAATATTTTCAATATCCTGTAAGCAGCAGTTTTCCGTTTTCCCCATTTTGCTGCTCATGTAACTGGGGCACAGACAAGCTGGAGAGGTTTGCCTCAGGTTACAAATGTAATCTGTGCAAAGGAGGAAACAGAACCCGTATCTCTCAGGTCTGAGCCAACCCTGCAAGAAAAATCCTTTCTCCCCCTGAAACACAGAGCTGGCAAAATGCTTAAGCTGCTGGACCTGACCAAAAAGAAAGCCCAGCAGTTCAGCTGGACAGACACCCAACAGCTCCAGGTCCTGCTGATACATTCTCACTCTTTTGCCCCCTTAATGGCAATGGCAGACTGGTCACACAACTATCCCCCAGGACACCATCTGAAGGGCTAAATAGCAAGGTTTCTTTAACAGGTACAGAATTTATAACAACAGGTTACAAAGGACAGGAATAGATACTAAAAATGACAAAGCAAGTAGACAGCAGCACATAAACACATCTACTACCTACTGCCACTGGCATATAGATCATGAATGTACACATATGCATTGAGTTGTTGTGGAGTTATCTGTTGTCCCACCACCAGCCAATGACCTGTTCAGATATCACTGTGTACATGTACCTGTGCTCATACACACATATTAAAAGGGATGGACAGCACATATAAATGTACAGCTTTGCCAATTTACCAGCAGGCATGTTAAAAGATAGAATTTGAATTGTAAGAAAAGGACTAAGTAGCAGGCAGGTAGGTCAGTTAACTGGATGTATAATAGAGCTCCACAGTTCTAAATCCTTGCATTTTTGTGCAGGTAATTGAGTGGAGTGTTTATTATATATCATATAGTTTACTTGTAATGGCCATTTCAGGTTTTAGTGCTGGACACATTTTATATTATTACCACCACTAATTGTCTGCAGGGCTACCTTGGAAATGAAAAGGAATCTTAGGGGAATATGCAGGTGTGAATAAATAGTAAACAAAGAGGTTAGATATTGCCGGAATAAAACATTATTGTGCTGTGTGCTGAATACATCAAAATAACTAGAAGATCAAAGGATAGTGTTTAAGCATTGCCGTGACTTCAGCAATGGCCTAACATATATGTCACTGAAGCAAACTATGGGTTTGAAGCTTTTAATAGAATTAGCAGATGCTATTCACCTTTAAAGTCACCTTAAAATATATTACATAGTATTCTCCATTTACTTTCAACAGAGAAGTACACAGTTTTGGAAAAGCTGCAACTTTAATATAACCATCACATTTTTTTTCACATCAGTGCCCCCCACTTTAAACTCACTCATTTGTCTCATCACTTATTAAATGGCTTGAAAACTAATACTCTGTAATGGGCATTCAAAAGAGAAATGTGAACTTTAAAAATTATTTATAATTTACAGATGTTTTTGAAAATCTATCAATATTTAAAAACTGCTTTGGGAGCACCAATTAAATGCATTAACAGTTAAATTACTGGGGGAGGAACATACAGAGGTTTCTGACCAACAGAACTGAGACAGCTGGCAGGGAGGTTTCCCCATTTCAAATTTCATAACTAAAAGAAAGGCAGCTCCTAGGAACAACAAATAAGTCACTTTAATACCTCACAGGAAAAACCTGCTTGCTTTTATAAAATGCCTTTAATGCTTACATAAGTAGTTAACATTCCTGTATTGCTCTCCTAAGGTAACCTAAGCCTCCAGTTCCATTATGTCTTCTTCAGAAGACATATTACTATTACATATGTAGAGAGGAGCATAAATGTTTTCCTTGATTGTTGCTTAAAGTTCATTTGAACAGACGGAGCCCAATGAATTCCATCTTCTACAGCCAAATTAAAGAAAATGTAAGCAGTTCACATTCTGCTCCACCTTTCAAATCATGCACAAACACCAGTCTGCAACTAGAAGAAAACAGAGCTACCCTACGCTTGTTTAAGGAAGCCGGTTATTTTGTGCCTCTCTAGGCAAAGAGAAAGCATAAGTAATTTTCCACAGTCCTGTACATATAACTAATGACAGTCACCATCCTCAAAGCTTATTATACTGCTTTACATAATTGGGAATCGCATGTCACACAATTAATTTACAGGGCTTGTTTAGTTGTGACTATACAAGCACTAAGCGATTCAAATTAGCTCATTTGTCCACTGCTTAAATGTGACAAACACATTTACACTGTATTTCTTCCTGTTAAGTTGCAGTTTCTTTTAGTAGTTGTTTTTGTTTGTTTGTACAGTATGAGTCAGAGACCACCAGGCTTGTTCCATCTGAAGCTAAGGTCAGGAAAAATCACCCTGAGAATAATTACATTTAGAGTCAAGATAATGGGAGTGCAGAAAGCCCATTCAACTACCCTAGCAAACTTGCACATAATAATGATCTCCTAAGAATCTGTATAATAACAACCTCATGTACTAAAAGTAGTGATTCAGTCAATCAGGTCTTTGCTACAAAATAATTATTATAATTTGTTGTGCTGATAACAGTACTTATACTGCTTATTAAGAACACCAAATGATGGGGGATAACAGTTCAGGTTCCTCACTGGACTCCAATACTTTCTTCTGCATTTTACTTTCACTGGGTCATGCCCTCACCAGGCAACACCATGAATAGGACCAGAAACCCTCTCCCTCCAGTCTTTCCCCATGCTGCAGCTCCTTTTGAAAGCTGCTGAAGTGTATAGAAGCTACAGAGACAGCTGCCCCTATAACACAGTCCCAGTCATCAAAGTACTTTGCAGTGGCACACAGGTATTAAAATGACTGCTTCTTTCTTTCCCAGGTCACAATATAAGGAGTGTGTCTGAAGTCAGACAGCATTGTTCTTTCTCTTTCCTTCCCAAAATTAGTGGTGCAAAGGCTCAGACCCTGAGAGCTGAAGGAGACCCTGCTTCACAACAGCCTTCTAAGTCCCCATTCTCACACAGCCCCAGGACCCCATGGGGAGAAGGGCAGGCTGTCAATACCTCCCTAGCTGGAGGCTCAAACAAAAGATGGAGCCCCTGGGCAGGATTTGCAGGCAGAAACCCCTGAGATGTCAAGCACCACCTTGGGTCCTTATTTGAGTATCGCCCTTCTTTCAGCTAATCTACAGTTTAATCATGAAGGTCTGCAGGGATTGCTGCGGGGGCACCTCACACTCAGTTGCTTTCCCCTTCTTTTATTATGCATGCCTCTCTGTCCCACCTGTGCCTACTTTTCAGCCACCCCAATTCATTGCTTCATTGCCTTTCGACCAGAACAGCAAGAGCAAGGCACACTTTGGAGGGGGCTAAACTAGGACAAAGAAAAGAAGGAAGGCAATGTGCGGAGAACTGAATGAAAGGAATATAGGTAGGGCGAAAGAAAGGAGTGAATTACTGCATCTGAAAGAAACCCTGGCAAAGATATCACAAAATCTTTTATAGGGAATGAAAAGTAAAAGGAAATTAAGATCAAGCAAAAGCAATGCAGGCAGTTAACACATTCAAAAACGTATCAGTGTTATTTTACAGTGTGCTAGAATTAAATACAGTAAATAAATACAGAACTGCTTATTTCTTAGAATGACAGAGATGTGGTGGCGGTCTTATTTACACAGGTGAAAACTCCTGGACCTAGATCTGCAAAGGGACTTAGGTGCCTCCAGGAGCCTAAGAAGCGAAGAAAGAAGGATTCATGGGGCCCTGGGGGGGACCAGGAAAAGGTATGCAACCTCACAGCTTGGGCACTCAGCTGGGAGAAGGGAGTACTGGGCTCTTTATACATTAAAGAGGCATCAGATAAAAAACAAAAATAAACACAAGTTCCAGACTGCAAGAACCCCTGGACTGAGTGTCCTTCTCATTAGGTTAACAGCTCCTTCTCAAATGTGCTCCTACCAGCTCCTTGCTTCAGAAAGCCCAGCTTCCATGGGAAGAAACCTCTGCACAGCCAAAGACCCCCTGCTCCAAAGCAGGAAATGTGGCTTTGAATCCGTTCAGAAGCTGGGGGAACTGAATGAAGGCCTCATACCACTTAATCCTCTACCTACCTGGCCCCTTAATAGGGAAGACATGAACACAGCAGTTTCTGCTGCAAGTGCCCACCATGTCCTGGGCTTAGTACGATGGTTTCTGTGCAGCAGACTGATCAGAGATGATGGGTACTCAGATGTTCACACTAGTGTGGCTAGCACAGACTTCCAGGCCACAGAAACCAGAAAAAACTTTCATAAAAAAAAGGGGTGTCTCCCAAACTGGGGCTAACCCAGAGAGGTAGTTTTTGGATAAACAATTCTATTTATTTTCTTACAATCTATCTACATCCCATTTTAGGCTTCTTTTTTTTTTAGATCTGGCTGTTAGTGCAGATGTGCTGCACAGCTGTGAAAAGTGATGTCACTGAGCAAAGGTAACTTTGGTTTTTAACCCAAGTCAGTGCTCAGAATGGCAGACAAATGCTTACACCCATGCTGGTGCAGCACAGTCATACTGGAGACAGCCTGCTCAGGAGCCTTTTCACTGTAGTCAAAATGCCATGCAAGACAACACAGCCCTTTCTCCCTGACCCTCATTTTCTTCAGGTTACTTGAATGGGAACATATGTGGATGTCTATGTCTAGGTGGAATGGGCACAGGTTGGTAGGGGTGTGTGTTTCCCACTAATTCACAGGCATTTTAACCTTTAAGGGAACCTGACGAATTTCTCAATTCAAAATGGTCAGAAGACCAAATCCTACTATGAAGCTGTCACATGTAAACTGTCATACCTGCCACTTCCTATCTTGCAGAACATCAATCCCTCTGTGTGGAATTTTGTAAGGTAAGAGTTGTATTTATAGTAAACATGCTTCATTCAGACCTTTCATATTAATACAGGTTTATTTGGTTGATTTACTTCTACAAAAGAAGGAGAAATTCTTTGCAAAAGGCAGCATTTTCCTTCTTTTCTAATTTCCATTCACCAAAGCCTGCTGAAACTCATGATTAACTGTCTGAAATAGAGGCCCCTCCAGAAATAAAGAGATCTCTGCTTTAGATCTGTTAAAGCCTATATCTAAAACAACCCTTTGTAACTTCCTCAGTGTAGAATGGAAGCCCAGTGTGAAATACAGTAAATTAAGCCTTCTGCTGTCAGAGCTGGAAATAAGAGTAGAGCAGAATAGTGGCTGGATTTGAAATTATTTCCTTTTTCTTTTTTTTTATTAGCTTCATTTACATCCTGTCTAAGGTCTTCTGAGCAGCTCAAGGTGTCTTATCTCTGGCTACCAGGGGGTATTTTGCAGTCAAAGCAGTTAACGTACTTTCTCTCTTTTTAAGACCATCTTATCTTATCAGGCAGATCTCTTCAGGCTGAGGAGAACCCGTACTTATCAGTAGCTGTACACTGTATTGACAGCTCAGTGCTGCTAGGGACAAACGAAAGCTTAGGGTAGAGAAAGATCAGTTAACCTGTTCCACTCTCAATTTAGACTAATCTTTGGTTTGTCTAACTTCAGGAAACACTGTACATCTTTTCTGTGTTTACTTGGACAACAGCGGTGCACAATCACACCACCACTTGCTCAATATGGTGCACAGGTACAGCCACTGTAATAATCCCCAAGGCAGACTGCCTGTTGACTTGTGTGAGCAGTGCTCTGCTGACCTCCAGCAACTCCTGCTCCAGGTGACCTCAGGGGTGGATGACTGTTCTGATAGCAACCAAGGGTTGATGGGATCGCCCAGAGAAGCAAAAACTGGATGTTGCACAGACCCACAATTTGCAAATCAGCCTTTCCCTAGAGCAAGGGCCAGAAAAGGAAAGTGATTCCACACATGGTCTAAATGGAAGCAGCGAGTCTGAAGGTGAGCATCCTGCAAGCCTGTTCTTGGAGCAGAAAGGTGAAGCAGCAGTTTATTTAGACCTGTCCTCCATATCCTACCAGGGTGAACTCTACAGCACAACACAGTAACCAAGAGCAGTCAGCCCTGCTAACCAGTTATCTCCTTGAAATACATAAGCCAGCTTTTTCACCACAAAAAAAAACGATACAAATGGCAAGATTCCTCTCGTCCTTTGCTGATGTCACGAGCAGTGAACCAGGTCTAAAAAGTTGCAACTGCTGCTGCTGAAAAATCAGTCACCATAATTTCAGGTGAAAAAAATACATAATTGAAATTAAGTCTTGTGCTGGTTCTGCCTTCTACTTTTTTATGTTTATTTTTTCTCTCCTTTTTGTATCCAAACACTTCATGAGCACTTTTATATTAGTGATAACCCTAGACTTTCCCTGCAGAGAAGGTTCTCTATTAATTGTCCATTATCTTGGTGTGTCAGCACAAAGGACAGGGGAACAAATTCTCATCCAAATGGTTTCACCTCTCTCTCTTGAGAGTGATGCCCTTGTCAGGGCATTAAAGACATGAAAACCTGCCACTTATCAGAATTGTGTTTGAATCGAACTACTGTCCTTGAAAACAGTAGACACCAGATACCATCAAAATAAGCCACATTGGCAGATCCTGTTCCACTGTGACTTAGGCAACCTTTAGACAGCTTATATACACACCTCTGGTTGTATATGGTCCGTAACATTACAGCCGTGGTTTAGAATCACAAAGGCATGTTCTTCATTTTATCAAACACTAAGCACATTAGAAACAGCAATTGCCAGGTTGAAGAAAACTTGGCCAGTATCTATGTTAAATCTCTAGACACCATATTAAAATGTGGGATAGTGGTATGTGCAGAGTTTTTGAAAAGAGGTGGTGGTAGGAGGAAGAAGATACGTATGGCATTTTTTATGAAACAGTTTGGAAGATTTCACCAGTTTAAATAAGCCTGAGGACACACTTGAATATAAACTCATTGCTGAACCAAATCATAAAACTTTGTAATTACTTCACACCACCAATTCTTAACAAAACATAACTCAAGCCTATTAAAATGCTGAATTTGCTTGCTAGAATGCAACAGTATTTCAGAGAGGTATTTAATCATTCTATTAACCTGTTCAGAAACAGAAAAAAGAAAGAGCACTGAAGTTACATCCACAGCTGCAGATCTCTATCTGTCTTTTTTTGGCAATCAATGACTGTCCTCACTTTTCACAATCTGAAAGCACAAAGAGGAGAGGAAAAAAAAGGAACTTACGCTTTGCTTTTAACAAGTAAACAAGTGTACAAATTAATTCAGAGAGCTGTAATTTTGAGAATTTTCTATGTTTAATGTGCACTGCAGTTAAACTACTTTTTCTGTACAAATTAATTTACTGCATCAGTGATCGATGTTTATGTTTAGGCAATTTTATTTCTCAGTATGGTAAAATTAGACCTAATAGTTGCAACCTGTTATGTCCAATCTGTCACTGAAATTCAAATTGCCTTTTTCCTATTATTCAAGGAGCAATTTGGAGGAATTAAAGCCGTCTAAAACCAGAAGACAAACAATTCTCTGTATGGACTCAATAGCCTGTGTCATCAACCTGCTCTAGAAAGCGGTAGTCCTTCCTCAGCAGAACCACTGCCACCTTTTCCTCATATTCTGAATGTTTCCAGCCTGAAGACACCCCAAAAGGCACAAGTGTCTGAAGACAGCAGAATGCTGTGCCACTCCTTGAAGGGAACATAATGACAGTGTATGTTTTGAGCAAGTGCAGATATCATTAACAGCTAACAGAAAGAGCCTTCTCTTCATTCAGTAATTGCTGATGTTCACACATTTTCAATTAGCCATCCATGTATCTAAAAAAAAAAAAAGTTTCTTTTTCATCTGGGATGAGTTAGTTATTGTCATCTTGTTCTTGTCAGTGAAGCACTCGGCTCCCACCGACAACTATTATTTATTACTTCCAGTACTGAAAAATTCTGGTTGAACTTTGTTTACTACCCTCTGCCTTATTTTTTCTTGCTTCAGTGGGATGGCTGTGCTGAATAAATTCAAGGTTATTCCCTTGAATCACTTGAGGTTTCTTGAAACCTCAAGACTCTTACCCCATCTTCCAGTGTATCTTTGATCCCATTTGAATTTCTGGATGGCATGTTGTTTGCTGCTTCTGTACCCATTTGCATCTCTTATTCTTAGAAGCCTAGCAATCCTCCTCACAATTAAGAAACAAATACTCTCCGCTCCCCCTCACATGTTTATCTTCAGCTTTATTTTTCTCTTTGTGTTTGTGTGTGGGAAGGAGAGATTAATTTTTCTCACATACAAAGAACAAACACTTTGCTTTCTGAATGCCAGCCTGCATCCAAGTTTTTGGTCTTGTTGAAGATGCATGAAATAGGAACAGTGAGATGAGGAATAACATTGGGTTTTAGGAGATTTTGCATCTTTTCCAGTCATTCTGGTTTACACTCTGATCACTTTTAAAATTCCAAGTAGGCTCATTTCTTTGCAAGATTGCTCAGTTCATCAAGCTGATGAACAATTTTGCTACTAGACTGTACTGATTAATGTGAATTAGTCACGAGATTAATAATTTTACTGTTTTGCAGGACTAAGCTGCCCTTAACATCTTGAGTTTTGACAGTATTTTACAACTGGAACTTCCTTAGACAGATGATATGTAACTTCCCGGATTCTCAATGCTCAGCAAAGTGGCAAGACCTTACCCCTGGGTTCACTCTTCTGTTTTAGTGCCCATAAACCATTCTCAGTTGACAATATTTGAACTAAGACCCTTGGTTTTTGTACAGCAGTTGGCTGCTGACTCCTCTTTCTACTAGTTATTTGTTTCATTCTCATAGTTGACGTTCACTTATCTCAGTGTGAGGTAAAGCATGTCTTTTTGCTGATTCCTATGCAGTTTCTAGAAGAAAGACCTGAACTTCTGTTGATCCCTTGGCAGACAGCATAAGACAAATAACAACATCATCTACATGGGTTCAGGTATATATATAACAGTTAAATCATTTGATGGAGGATGGAAAATAGACACTTCATTTCTAGTATTTGAAGCACAGACCATTGTATTCCACGATTACATTTACATGCTTCCTCCTGTAGTGGCCAATGAATCAAATCACTATTTATCATCTATTGTACAAGATTTCCTGACTCTGCTTGTGTTTAGACTTCTGTTTTGCTGATAATGGACTTCACAGTATCGTCAGTCTCCAGAGGAGCGTATAAAAGCACCATCTATTTCTAATTCTGAATAGTGGCCTCTGTGTTAGGTAATGTATTGGCCGGTAGGCTGCACTTGCTTGCTAATTACAGTGGAAGTTTTCTCTTAAAGAAAACATGGCACTGCAAACGGCATGGAATCAGCTTTCTTTCTAATTGGAGCTTTCTTTCTAATTCTCCCAGTACTAAGTTTCCTCATAAACACACTCTTCTATATTTGGATACTGGATTTAACCCTGTTACAGAAAATAAGACTTGACACAATTATATATTTATTTGATCTTTTCTAAAGCACCAATTGCAAGCCAAGTAGTATAAAGAGCCAAATGCAAAACAGTAAAAGTAGAAAGCAAAATGTAATAGCATGTTACAATATGCTATACACACAGAATTCAAAAGGGACCTGCCAGCCCCAAAAGATTCAATTCCTGACTAGTTAGAGAAAAGAGAAAAACAAAAGGGTAGCAGATGCAAAAACAAAGGTAGGGAGCCCATAAAACAGTCATGGATAGGCCAACTGAAATAAACAGGGCTTGCAGCTTGCCTTAAAGGCAGCCAGCAAGGGGCTCTGGCAGGGAGTTCCACAACTGAGGACAAGAAAGACTTGCCTTCGGTCCATGCCTGACTCAGCCCAGGGAGAGAAAGCTGACTATGTCCAACTGCGAGCAACTGCCAGACAGGGACGTGGAGTGCAAGGCTGCTGCCCAAGAACTGGGGGATTAAACTTTGAACAGTTACATGGATGGGGCTTTATTTTTCCATATATAAGCTTTCTACCCCAAAGAGGCTCCGGATCAATTTCAAGGGAAACAATTAGGAGCACATTACAGTAGTCTAGCCCAGATGACTGCAGTGTAGTCTTTGTCCAAGATAAATATGCAAACTGTTCAAATAAGCTGGAAATTCATCAACGAGGATGTAGAACTAGGGCCCTTCTCGCTGGGGAAGTAACATTATGGTGTTGGTCAATATTACTCCCAACATGCATCCCAACATGTACAAGCCTGAAACTCTGTCTATCCACATAGCAGGACACTTCCTGCTTCTTTATTTCATGCCCATTAAGAAGACAGCCTCAAGGCATATTACCTAAATGTTTTCCCTTGTTTTCCACAATCTTGTGGCATTGTGCTACAACCAGTTTCACTCCTCTAAAACATGTCTATTGGAGACTAATGTTACATGCCTGCAAATATACTGCAGACCTCCTGTAAGCAAGAACAGTTCACAGCAGACCAAATGAAAATATACATTGTAATGTCTCCAGCCAGCTAATGGAACTCAACCTCTAACTCCTCTGATATCTCACATCCCGCATAAAGACAGAGAAAAGAAAAGGAAATATAATGGAAGACTGCCTTGTGGAAAAAGGCAAATGCTCATCTTGGAACAAGGTATTAACCATTTGGTCCAACCACTTAATTGCTCTAGGCCAGATGCCAGTTTCGGGTCACCTCTTTTGGGCTAGGCTCTTCAGTCATGGGACAGGAGCCCTCACTTCCAACTTGGACAAACTGGCAGCTTGAGGAGTGAAGAGCTGGGGAGTGAAGGGTGCAGGAGGAGCATCCCGATCATCAGGAGGAGCCAGTACCAGCTGTTCCTGCTGAGCTACAGTCCCAACACAGGGTGACTTCAAAAAATTGGTAATCCGGGCAGGCTCATGCTGTGGACTGGATCTGGCTTGCAGGACATTTTTCGGACCACTCTGTATCAACTCCAAAGGAAAAGCTCTTCTCTGGCTTTTACAGTGGCAGGAAAACAGCCTGTTTTGTGGCTTCTTATCTCATGGGCATAAATGTGATTAAAACAATCTGAAATGCAGCCATGCCGATTAGGTTTTTTATTCCATCTGATCCTAACATGGCTGCAAAGGAGACCAATAACCTTATGGTTTAATCTTCATCTTCCTGGTAAAAAGGAATATGAACAACATCGGCAAAGACAATTGCTGACTTTGTACCAATGTGCAGGCAGCCTATACTAACCAGGCAGCCTGTAACAGGAAACATTTCCAGGAATTTTACATGTGTTTTTATTACAGCAGGATCTGTTTTTTTCAGTGTTATTCAGTTCTGAGCTGGGATTTTAGAATGCAGTGGTACAATACTGTGTCTGCTACTTAGAGAGTGGGATGGCTGAAGAAAGGCTGTATTCTCCCTGAAATTTCTACATAAACACTTGGCTTTTTTTCCTTGGCTCTAATGTCTGCTACTTTAGCCCAGGCTTACCATCCCCACACTGGAGCACTTTATTTCCACAGAAAACTTCCAGATCTCTGTGACTATTTGATACTGAAGAGGTGGTTTGTATCATCTTAGATTATCTTACATGAGGTAAAAAAGAACCCATGGCCTTGTCACAAGCTCCTACTCATATTCCGTAAAGAATTTAAAGTGATCGTTTTCATAAGCTAAACTATATTCTTTCCTTTCCCCATGCATTTCATTGCAAAAAAGCCAATATTCTGTGTGGCAGGCATGATGTACTGGTACTCTGAGGAAACTTCTAGCAAGTCATTTACGTCAATGAAATATTAGCAGATACATCCAACAGATACAGAGGAGGACTAGCAGAAAAAGAACTGGCCAACCTTTTGAACACTAGGCTGTTTCATTTGACTTATGTTACCAAAATACTTTAATATACTAAAATCTACAGTTTCAGAATAAAATCCTGGCTCTGCTGAAGCCAATGAAATTTTGCTATTAACTTTAACAGGACCAGTATTTTAGCTTTGGTCTGGATCTGGTTAGATGCAGGGTTTAAGAAAATGAAACTTATTGCCTGGGAGTCCAGTGGTAATATTCAAAACGAATGAGCTATATTACTTGGGTTCATGAGGAAAATACAAAATGAAAATTATGGTAACTTTTCAAGGTTTATTAACTCAAGTCCCATAGCCTCGAGGGGCTATCTCCATCTGCCTTATTTATATGCTACCATGATGGTTCCTGCTCTTCAGTAAGTTATGTTAAAAGAGTCTTTGTATTGTAGGATTTTAACATCCCACAGATAAGTATTTTCAGCAAAAGCACAATATGATTTTATTTTATACTAATTAACTACAAAACCTTTCTTTTAATCCAAGTATGAATATCTAACCAGTAACTTGCATCTACAAAATGCATTCTGAAGCAACTATTTGGAAAGCTAAAATATATCTGACAAATAATGTGTACGTGTATTTTGTATATATATAAAAATAAAGGCACATCCAAAAAGAAAGCTTTCCCTTCTTCCACAAACTTCCTCAAAGAGCCTGAATGCAAATTATGTCTTTAACTAATTACAGATAAAAAATAAACAAACCCATATTTCTCAAATCACTCTTCCAGAAAAGTCTGCAAGGTTAACCGAGCCAGAGCTTGTAGATGCATTCCTGAAGTGAGAACCCCTCCCAGGAGAACTGCTCCCAGCTCCATCCCTGTTAGCTGGCTGGCTGGCTGGCTGGAGACATCTCTCAGGGCACAACTGCAGCACTACTGCATTGAAAGAGGTGGCCTCTGAGCTGGCCCAGCAGTATGATAAAGGAAATACAGATGTTAAAACATCATTTTTGTGGACAGTAGTGGCCAAACTGTACCTTTCCCACAGTTCAGCTAAAATGAGCTCCGCAGTGGTCCACTATATAGCCAGACGTCAA